CATCTAGCAGTGCCTCCAGCCCCTGGGGGGCTGCCCTGGCCCCCCGGTGCCGTTTCCAGGGAGGGGGCCGCGGGGCAGGGCGGCCAAGTTTCGCGGGGAGCCGTGTCGCCCCGCTCCCTCCCCACATCTCCTTGGTCTCGCGGGGTCAGTGGCGAGCAGAGATTCACTTCACTCCTGCTAAGGTTGGCGTTAAATAACAGCTTGGGTGTTAGGGCAGGGGGCACAAAAGGGAAATTGCGCAGCCCTTCTAGTCTCCAGAGGCCTCATCCTGCTGCGCAGCACTGGGCCAGGGGCAACACAGCTTTTCCATCCAGCCCAGTGAGGTGGGCCTCACCGAGCTCAGTTCATATCTCCAGGGTGTATGGGTGAGCTAGCATCTAAGGGCTGCAAGCTCTCAAATCTGGAGCTTTGATACAGCCCTTTTACCCCAGATGTCCAGACTCAGGTCTGAACAGCAAGCAGTAGCTGGAGATGGAGACAGGTGGAAATAAGGAGCAATAGCCTCAGCTTTGTGCCTTTCATGTCAAACATTAATGCCATTTTTGTGTTTATAGTCAGTTTAATTTTCATCTTTCTGACCTGCAGTACTTAAATGGAAGAAGACCATCGGTTATTTTTGTAATATTGTTTTATCTCTTCCTTTTCTCTCACCACTTCGGGTTATACTAGATTTAGGTTTTACAAGGGTGTATGTTTTCAAAATGTTGATTTAGTGTCAGCTGTAAATTGAGAGTATACTCTTGAGATATTTCTTGTTATGCACATTGAGGTAGTTCCCCAGGTATCTTTGGTATTTGTATCTTCCTGTGCGTTTGGCAGTCATCATCTCCAAGAGTTCAACCTGATTAGTCATGCGATCACTTCAGAAAAGGCTAAGTGAAACAGACTGGATATCTCTTCTATACTTTAAATACTTTAATTAGCACACTAACACAATTCATCCATTTTTCAATTCCTTCCTACGTGCTGTCTTTCAAAAAAGGCCCTTCAGTTACAGACACCTGCAAGGTACAGACGCGATAAATTTTTGGCAGTTAGCTCATGTTTGCCAGTTCCCTGAGTAGCTCTGATTGCCTTCACCTGTCCATTGAACAGTCCCCCAGTGAGAGCCACACATCCAAGCACAAGAAAATGGAGAGTGGAAAAGGTGGCAGCCAGAATTCATTGTGTGAGCAGTTCTAATAGCAAAGTGTTAGGCATGATCAGTGATTTTTACCAAGCGGCAATAGGCTCATAGGTCTTATCTGTTGAACGTATGTGCATGATAGATCCTGTGCTGTTGTGAGAAGCATCACAAAGGATTTATTTTTTATATCCTTCCAGAATAAAATAGAGCAAGATATTCGAGATTAGCAGATCTTCTGAGAAACCTAGTCTGTCTTTGTGCTCCCATTCTCTGCTGCAGACATTGCCTCCAAAACAAAGTCCGTAAGGACAGAGTCTGCTCCCATTTAAATCCACAACAAAACTTCTTCCAGGTGCTGTGAGAGCTGGACTGGAGGACTGAGTGTTCCTCTTATCCTGAATGCCCTTGAGTAGCAGTAAGGACTGTATTTCAGTCAATTCATTTGACAAACTATGCCATTATGCATCAGTGATTTGACTGGCTTTTAGAGGTGTGCACTCGGAGTGCTCCATTCTACAGCGCTAACTTTGTTTTAGGCAAATGATTGCCTTTTTTTCATCTTATTTAAATCCATTAATTGTAAGCGTAAGTGTTACAGGAAAATTTACTTTGTATAACTGGCTTTCAGATGCTTTTTACTTTCTTTTTTTTTTTTAATTCATTACTACCGATTTTGCTTCTGTGGTCCAAAAAAGGTTTAGAAAAATGTCAGGAGAGTCATGTTGGTTTTGACTAATGGTCCTTCAAGGGAGAAGAGAAGCTGCTATCACCTTCTTGCCTTTAAACTAGACATAACTAGGTTTTTGTTGGCAGTCAGCAATACCAGGATGGGAGAGAGCGCCATGTATTTCACTGAAGACTTGGAGCCTCCGCTTTCACTTACGATCTTTGAGCATAAGACAATATAAGCTGTTTTAGTTAGCCCTATTGGGAGTTTACCAATAAAAGAGAAATTTGTATGAGGTGCAGAGCTGTCATAGTAGTGCTTTCCCTTCCTTCTCAGAAGTGCGGTTACAGTTCGAGTAGTCTCTTTTGGGTACCTTCTGCTAACAGAACAAACCTG